CACCTAGGCTAGGATCCTCTTGTCCAATACTTTGAATTATTTTGTGAACATATACATTGAGCAGAGGCAGAGGAGTTGGATTTGAAAAATGCACTAAAATGGAATTTAAAAATAAAAAATAGTGAAGTAGGATTGGAGATGAATCCATTTTACTTTTGTATTTTTTTTTAATGTAGTTTCAACAATGCCCTTTTTAGGTAACTATTGTTTAGTTTTTTTTTTTTCCTACAAATACCTTTATCTAGATATTTGTAGGACCACTCTTAGCATCATAAAATTGGCTCCAAAAAGAAAAATAAATATTATTATCATTATTATTTTGATGCAACACAAACTACAATAATTATTAGTAACTATTGTTTAGATGTTCATGTTCATTTTATTTTAAGAGAAATCTAATATCCTTTTACTTTTTTTCTTTTCTATTATCTTCCTATACATTCATTTAAGATTGTGATAGTTGTCATATTTAATAAGATTAATAAATTTTTATTACATTTGATATCATCTTAATGATTCAGAAAAAAATCTCTTATTTTAATATGTAAACGTTTGTATTGACAAATACAGATATTTGGTGTGTTAGGAGACCGTTGGTCCAAATTTAGAAAGGGCAACTCAAGTGGGTCAAAGTTGAAAGAAGTGACCAGTGGCAGTGCCACTGGGCGTGGGGTTTTCATTTTTAATGCCTGACACGTTTTTTTTCATTTACATCTTCTTCAAATCGGCATTTATTTTGAAATAAGTTGATTTGCTTTTTATTTCATGCACAAATAGAATAATTACGAAAAACAAAAAACTTAAATCTAATTTTCAACTCTTACCTCAACCTTGAACTTTTTAAGTATAGCACGATGCCTTTTGAAGTTTTTGTTTCCTGAGTATTTCATAAAACCATATAATGTACAAACATTATGTAACTTTTAAATACTACTAAAAATCTTTATGCGACATGTTTAAAATACAAACACTACTATATTATAGAGTATTATATTATTCTTCGTTTTTAATCTTTAGCATATATCTGTAGTAATTAATCAATATTTTATTTTATCAAAGGAAATAAAAAGGAAAATTATGTTCCATATATTTGTTGGCAAACATCTATTTATAATAGTAACCTACAAGTGCTAATAAAAAAAATAATAATTTTTATCAAAAGGAAATAAATGATACCCCAAAAGATTCGTGGTCAGTGTCGTTTGTAAAAAAAATTAATTTTTTACGATATGGCACACAAATATTTTGTGGTTAAAAATAGTCATATATTGTGATTATCACATAAGATTTTTTATACTATATAATACGTTTGTGGTAAATAAGTTTGGGGGACAAACTGAAACATACATCATCAGATTTTTGATATTTTGTTTCTTTTTCGTTTACATCTTTTTCCATCACTTCATTGAATTTGTATTTATCATGTACTTATTGAGTTTAGAATTAAAACCATCTAGAAACATGCATACCCTTAATATATATA